ACCCTCCCTCCTTCCGTGGGCCCTCACTATCTGTTCTCCTACCCACATGCCTGCTTGCTGGGCCTGAGCATGGTCATCATGCCTCATGGTCAGAAGTGTAAGCGCCACACCCATGAGACAAGCCACATAGCCCAAGATGATTTCCAGGGTCATGGGGGAGCTCGGGCCAGGGCCGCAGTGAAAGAAGAAGAGACCCACCCCTCTTCCTCTCCTGTTCTCAGGGATATTCCCTAGAGCTCAGCTGTTGCTGGGTCAGGTAGCACTTCTCAGGAACCACGGGGAGCACCATCCACCACCACTACCTGTGCAGATGTTTTTGACGCAGGATCTAATGAAGGTGATAACAGCAAAGATGAAGAATATCCATGCTGCTCAGAGGCCTCTACCTTTGATGAGAGCCTATATAAGGACTGTCTGATCGTGAAAGTGGGTTTGTTGGAGGAGTTCCTCCTATCCAAGCACAAAATGAGTCAACCCATTATGAAGGCAGAGATGCTGAAGATTGTTGATGTGATGCACGAGGATCAGTTGCTGAGATCCTCAAGATGACTTCTGAGCAAATCGAGGTGGATTGTGCAGTGGATGTGACTGAAATCGACTCAACCTGTCACTGGTTTGACCTTGTGAGCAAACCAAAACTCCCCAGCAATGGAAGAATTCATGCTGGTAGAGGGTTACACAAAACACGTCTCTGTATGAATCTCCTGGGTGGGATCTTTGTGAAGGTCAACTGTGCCCCTGAGGAAGACATCTGGAAATTCCTGAGTATCAAGAGAGTATATTCTCGACAGAAGCACTTCATCTATGGAGAGCGCAGGAAACTCATCACCGAAGTTTTGGTGAGGCTTAAGCTCCTGGAGTACCAGCTGGTGCCCAACGGTGATCCTCCATGCTACAAATTCCTGTGGGGTCCAAGAGCCCACGCCAAAAACGGCCAAATGAAAGTCCTCGAGATTGTGGCCAAGGTCAATGATACTGTTCCTAGTGCCATCTCAACACTGTACGAAGAAGCTTTGAG